ACCGAGCCTCAGGCCCTACATCATAAAGGAGAGGAAATGTGAGCCAGAATAGAACTGGTTTGGGCACAGGTCCCTGGTTTTGATTGGTGGAGTCTCTGCTTCAATGTGGTAGTAAAATTCGGAGGTTAATGACAACATGACACAAGGGGTTTCTTCCTATCCCCACCGTCCCATTAGCTGGACAAGTGTGGATCTTTACCGTCCTATTTACGTTTGTCCATGTAAGCCAAGAGGATCACAGAGGGCCTACAAAGGACTTACCAGCACTGCCAGTGGCGAGAGAGCGCAGAGGCTTCATCAGTTCCACCAGTAGATACAGTGATTCATTGAGCGGAGGGGTAGAGGAACGAGCGTTCAGAGAATAAAAGAAAGGGGATATAGGGTGTAACCTTCATGCATGTGAGCTGAGAGAATCACAGAGGGTCTACAAAGGTGCCGAGGCTTCATCAGGTCCACCAGTAGAGACAGAGATCAATTGAGCCCAGGGGTAGAGGAACCAGCATTGAGAGAAAAAAAGAACGGGATATAGGGTGTAAAGGTAACAGAGTATAGCCCACAGGGCTAGCAGCGGGGGTGCAGATGGGGGAGTAAGCGAAATAGACTGACAGACGGAATTGCTCAGATATCCATGAGCTAAAAGTGTCCTGGATGAGGGAACAGCCATTGACAATCCATGTACCAAGATGAGACGCGTGACCAGGTTTCCAGCAGGTGCAGCTCCCCACCAATAGATAGATCCTTCAAACGGGGAGACACTTCAGGAGGGTGCTCTTATCACCTCCTTAAGTGAAGTTCCCTGACTCGAAGTTTCACTCAAAAAATAAGATAAAATAAAATTGGAGGTTAGAATGATGGATCATGATTCACATGTCCAGAGTGCAGGCTCCCTCTTCCTTTTTTTTTTTTTCCCTTCCCCCAACCGATTCAGTTATCTGTCAAATCTGGACAGGACAGCCTTTCAGGACTTTTCTATTATCAGTACAGTATTATGGGGAGCCCCGTAGCAGGCACCTCTGTGTTCAAGCCTCCAACGATGGAGAGATCATGCAGGAGCTGCACCTACCAGCAGGTGAGATACCTGCTGCAGCAGGTGGGTGATACGAGGCAGGGGTCAGCCGGTAGCATCAGGACAAAGCTTCATCTGAGTGGCCAGTTGCTGTGCCTCCCCTCCGGTCCCCTCCATTAGCAGTACCTGCTTCATGCTGATGGGGGGAGCCAATGATCTATCTCTAGATGGCTGGCACCAAGTATGCCCAGGCCAATGGCAGGCTCCCTCTTCCGTATGTCTGTCTACATGCTGTTTTCCTCTGACTGAACCATCTGAGCTTTAACAAAACCTTCTCGTTGTTGACTTGGAATTATCTCGTCGAAGATTTGGAATTGTAACTTGCCGTGCAGAGGCCTAGCGGAATTGGTAGAGCACGCAAGTGGCATTCAGGAGGTCGTGGGTTCGATTCGCAGTGTCGTTTGTCTGCTGCCACGGCCCCCTGCGGTGCACTTGGGACCAGATGAGATAGTTGGTGCGGCCTCTACCTGATTTTGGCAGGAGTGAAATGTCCTGCCATCCTTCACTAGGGATTAGGAGCTTGGGTACTACTCCCCACACAGGGTAAAGCTTGCTGGTAGTGCCCCTATAGGCTTTTGAATAGTAATGTCCTAATGGTCTCAGGAGTCCCCTGATGCTCTGTAGTGCAAAAAAAAAAGAGAGGAAGAAATATATACGTACAGCTGTCCCCTGATGAGGAGTAGACAACTTTTTATTAAAAAAAAGAAAAAGGAATTGTAACTTCACCTGGTATTGTAGATTTGGAATTGTAACTTGCCTGCCCTTGCGATCTTCTTGAAATATGCATGGACTCTCCCATCATCAGGAGGCTGGTAATTTCTCTCGCTGGGATTGTTCCTCTAGCGATTTTTTTGGCATTATCGTTCTCCTTAGCCCATCATCTTGCTTAACCACGTCCTCTTTTGCCACTTTAGCTGGATCTCAGTGGGGTCGAAGACCGGGAGAGATGACCATACGTACCCTTTGCTCAAGCCATATCCCCTTTCTGTCACTGAAGCATTTCAGGGTTGAAGAATCAGTCAGAAATAACAAATAACATAACATGGCTAATGTGGAGCTAGACACCAGACTCCTGTGGGCACCAGAATCAGGCCTATCTGGGTGGCATTCTGACTTGTGGATCTACTCCGGACCAAGGAGCGCTGAAAATGTATACATTTTCTTGAACTTGCTTGGGAACTTCGAGTTGACCCCCGGCCACATGATTTTTTATTTTATTTTTTGTTTTGGAAAGCTGTCTTCTCCTCATATGTGGGGACACCTTTTTTCAAAGCTGTCTTCTCCTCATATATGGGGAGCATGTGTATTCACCCCGCTATTTCTTCTTCTCTATTTTTCTTTTCTTTTCCACCTCATACTAACTGCCTACATACCCTGTGCTATCTACCCACATATCTAGCGTAACAGAACGCCATATCAATGCACCGGAGGGGAATGCTAGAGGGAACCCACCTATATCAATCCACTCTACTCTCTGCGGGGAGTAGTACCCAGGCTCCTAACCCTTAGCGAGGGATGGCCGGGTCATGGTCAAGCCAACTATCTCAGCTGGTGAGCCCGAAGCAAGCAGGAGGGGGCCGTGGGGAATCGAACAGACGATGGGAATTGAGCCCACGGCCTCCTGAATGCTGCTTGTGTGCTCTACCAACTAGAGGTAGGCCGCTGGCCGCCCCTTGTTGCGATCGAGTTTTGATTATTGAATCTGAATGCTGCTTATCCAGACACAGGGAAACCAGAGCATGCAGATGGGCTGTGCAGATGTCTGGTTTCCAGACACAGGAAGCCAGAGCATGCGGATGGCCTGTACAGACACAGGAAACTGCCATGACAAGTGACTGTAGTTCATAGTCAACCAAAGAAGAGGTACATAATACAAAGTAGAAAGTTAGCTATGAATGCAGTAATGTTGCATGGATGTCACAAATAAGCAGATGTGTCCTTTGTGCAGCTGAAATCCACACGGACAAACTCGTGGCAGTTAGAGAATTGCTTGCTTTTTTTCTTTTAATTTAATATTGTTGTGCGAGGATTTAGTACCTCAGCAGTGTTGGGAAGGGCCGTGCCCGGCCACTAAAAGGCGGGCCTGCAAATATGTGCCAATGCCTGTTTATAGGCCTGTGAGACCAGGCTGAAGGGCCCAAGCGGAGCCTGTTGGAACCCCTACGTGGGCATGGATCTTCAACGAGGCCTTGTTGCAAGTCAGTCCTCGGCATGCCCCTGTGGGGCCCTTTCAGCAAGCATGAGCCCGCCCTAAGTGAAGGTGGGCCCTAAGTGAAGGTGGGCCCCTGAATTTCAATATGGCTTGAGTTCGTCAATTTTGGCAAAGTTTGTGTTACATCTTTGACTCACACGGGTCCTACCGGACCCGACTTAGGGCCGGAGGGACACACCAGGGCCTAAAGGCCCGACCTTTGGGGTTTACAGGCCCTAAAGGCCTGATTTTGGACTATCACCCATCAGGTAGGCCCAAACGACACTTCGTTTGGGCCTGGCGGCGCTCTTGAAGCTGCCGCCCGCCGATTGAGGCTGAACCGTCCATCTGGACGGTCCAGGGTCTGGCCTGGCCTCGCAGCATTGAGGCCAGACCATTGCCCACCGGTATAAGTACCGGTATCCGCCTCAGTAGGGGCATCGGCCTACCGGAACTCTACTGGCACGGCATGGTCAGTGCTAGTGCACTGTTTTGATGCGCTAAACTTAGCGCAGGGGCTGAAGCAGGAGCGCAGCATAGCGCAGCAGCGAGCGGAGCAGCAGCGGGCGACTGAGCTTGCACGGCGGTTATYACCGCCTGAGGTATCGGGAGCTTGGAGGGTCTCTCCTCCTCTCCCTCGCCAGTCCCCTCTCTCTC